GTCAGCCCAAAACTCCGCCACAAGAGTGGCGTTGTCAGTAACACTCATCAAATCCTCCTGAGTGCAGTTGCTTGGGCACTCAGGGCATGACATCAGGTGCTTCATCGACTGGGGAACAAAACCGCACCCGCACTCCATGCTCAAGCCATCCAAGAATCCCCACCTGGCCTGGCTGGTTTGTAATGGTGTTAAAGGTAATAAAAAGCCGTACCATTAAATGTGGCTTTTATTGAAATACGTCAATGTGAATAATAATAAATAAATAAATAAACTGTTTTTAATAAAATTAAAACAACATTTTTTTATTGCATAATGTAGGTACATCATAGAAGTCACTCAATAAAACATTGTTCAGATACATCAATACACCATAATATCAGCGTGCAAGATTCAGAGTGCCCTGCCCTACCCTCCTAGAAAATACCTATGTACTTCGCATCAAGGGAAAATATAACCTCCGATTTCTGAAATAGCCGCGATCGTTCTAAAATAAACCGATTATTTGATTTCCGAGAAGTCGTTGAAGAGGAATTACTTCATGAATGGCAAAAAATATGGGATACGTCAGTCAAAGGACGTTACTTATAAAAATTCTTCCCGAATGTACGTGAACATCTAACTAGGCGATGGTTAGTTAAATCGACCATTGCTCGTCACAGTTCCTCACGGGGCATGGCAACTTTAAACATAAAGTTCACGAATTCCAACTAGTTCCGTCTCCTTTTTGCGAGTGTTCCACTGATGATGTCAGTCATGAGCAGTCTGCCCATCATATCTTGTGGGAGTGTGATCTTTGGAAACATGAACGTGATAATTATAATGCTTAATTCAATACAACATAAATCCTTAAATTGTAAATAAACTTACTAAAACACAAAAAAATCTACATTAAAATACAATGGTTGTTTTCACAGCCTTGAAGTACCACTGGTCAAGTGTCATTTTAACTGAATTATGAAAGTGTATTATGTAATAAAAATCAGTATTTGGAGTGACGTTTTCAGACATTGCTGGCTGGAGCTGGATGTGAAAAGCTAAATTATGTTTAGCAGTGAACTGAAATTAATGAATAATAGTTTATTATCGACTTTTTAAAAAATACTATTGGTCGATACAGAATACAGATAAAGATTTGTAGTGGCACATCACTTCAACTGTCAATGTCATCTGTGCTGTCAGCAGCTGCTTGACGTTCGAGGTGGAGCAAAAATTTTCAAATTTTGTTAAAATAGATTTAAATTGTTGTACAGATAATTCCAAATCATGGCTACATCCATGTTCAAATTATCTTCCGCTTTGATAAATTCCTCTAAGAACTTTAGGTGTGTCGTGCGGCTTGTGAACCAAAACAATTTCTCCACGACGAATGTCACAGCGGTAAGTTGCATAATCGATTTTGTGTACTCAATTTGGGCTTAGCACCGGCTTTTTAACCCTATGAGGGCTTAATTTAACCTAAAGTACTACGAAACTATAAAATAGTGACCTAATATGTTATTAATGTGAGGTTAGGTGTTGTTTTTTTGCGTAAGTTAGCGATGTTATTCTGGCTAGAACTACTATTCAGAACTAAATATTAGACCGTCTTTTACTGCACTGTAAGATCTGTGTACTTGTCCCAACTAATATTATAAATGCGAAAGTAACTCTGTCTGTCTGTCTGTCTGTCTGTTACGCTTTCCCGCTTAAACCTCGCAACCGATTTTGATGAAATTTGGCATAGAGATAGTTTGAGTCCCGGGAAAGAACATAGGATAGTTTTTATCCCGGTTTTTGAAACAGGGACGCGCGCGATAAAGTTTTTCTGTGACAGAAAAAATTCCACGCGGGCGAAGCCGCGGGCGGAAAGCTAGTTATAATATATGTGAGAGCAAACATTTTGTTATCTACTCTGATGATAACTGACTAACCTATGATATTTTGTTTGTGGAGTCTGTGCTCTGAATGTAGGTATATTATTTTTTCTTATTTACCAACCGAGTGATATGGAAATTGGGGGAGACCTATGTTCAGCAGTGGACGCCCTTTAGCTGAAATGATGATGAATGAAATAGACTGATTTGAAGATTTTGGATTATTGAAGAAATAAAAGATTCAAGGATATGCATTTTGATTTCTACATAGTTAACTAATAAATCAATATCTTCTAATCCAAGATTAAATTTAATTATTTTTCTCATAGACCTAAAAGTTAGTTGTTTCACTCCTTGCAAGCTACTAAAGTCAATCAACTAAAGTTAACTGGAAGAGAATACCATATGGCATGAAGTTCGCCTTACTTAATTACATACTTCATTTTATTATAGGCAGTAAATTTTTAAATAAAATTAATGAGTTGTTATCAACAACTCATAGATTTTAACACTAATTTGGTGAATAGGTAAATCTATCTAGAACTTACTACAAAAACGTCTGGGCCATATTACAATAAACTTAAACCGGGATTCACACTAGTTTAAAATGATATTTCCATACTAAATGTCAATAATAAATACTAGAGTTCAACTAGTTTAACATTTTGTAATACAGAAATTTGTATTTAGTGTGTAAAGTACTTATTAAAGTCTTTAAAAGTGTTAAGCAAGCTAACTTTATGTGCAGACCAGTTAAATGTGATTCTCGTTTGTTTTCAAGAGTCTCTGAAAGTAGGAATGTTAACCCTTTAATTCCTTTATAAACTCTCCAGGGAGTGATATCTACTTCTATATCAAAGAGTTGTTATCTTTCACCCATCCATGACCTTTCTCTCTTCGTGACTTAGTAACCAAGTAATTTTAGGTACTGATAACGATGACCACTGAGGTTTGTTCTTATCTAATGTCATGAAGGTTAAAATTGCAACAAATATTACATTTTCGCATGACTATCTGCGGTTTAGTTTTATATTTTAGATAGCAACATGGACCTATAAAAAAAGGCGGACGGAACTCGGGCTACAACAAAACTGTGACGCAAAATTTTGGCGTTTGTCTATTGTGTGAGTGAATTTAGGGATGCCATGTTAGCCAAAACATTTTACCCATTTATTTTAAGAAAATCATAGATCGGCAGATGTTACTTGGAAATGTAGACAGAATTATTCCGTGCCATTTTAAAAGGATGAAAGGTGTATGCGTTGAGGTAGGCGCGAAATTTTCAATGTTCAAATTTTCTTACATTGTTTGCAAGTCAGTGTGTCAGGGTATGTACATAATGTGGATCAAAAATGATTCACGCAGTTACAAATTACGAATCTTGTGTACATTATAATCATAATCTTATGCATCATCAATATATTATTATTATCTCTGATAGATTTTTTTTAACATACAACCTGACACTGACTTGCAATCAATGTAAGAAAATTTGAATTTCGCAGTTCCACATTTTTGGGAAGGATCAAATTTGCCCATGAAAATATATCCCATTAAAACACAATTATTATGATAAATTATTTTATTTCCATAGTATGCGTAATACATGACTAAAAAGTCCTAAAATCATTATTAATTTCCCATATTTCGGGTAATTTTCCCACGTAAATAACTGAGAACACTAGTCTTTGACGTATTATTTTTTCGAGTGAATGACGTTTGATTTCAATTAATTTCAATATTTTAATGTCGGGAAATAAGTGATTGGATTATTATTTTGCCTGTGAAATGTGATTCCTTAATTTTTGTTTGTTCGAACAGAACGGTTTTTACACAATTTCATCACACAAGACATGTCGTATTCGTGTTGTTTTTTCGCTGCTTAAATGTGTCAACTGTGTGAAGTTTGCACTCGAAGTGGTGTAACAGGGTGTGAATGTGTGCGTGCCGGCCTGTACGTACAGGCAAGCTGGTGTATCCTAATGTCACAGTATTTTGTTGATGAGAATCCGTCCGACTTTTTTTATAGGTCCATGGATAGCAATATAATTTCTCACGGTAATTTATTCACACAGACTTTTTTGCCTAAACTTTTTTTCATCATCATCATTTCAGCCACAGGATGTCCACTGCTGAACTGAAACTTTTTTTACAAGATTGAAGTTCCTCTAATAATTAAAAATATTTACTTAAATAAATATTATAATAATAGCAATTTCATTTAGTTTGAGGACAGTCCATATGCAAGCAAAGCTTCATTTTAAAGAATCTAACCTTAGGTACAAGTTAATAACATTATACTGGGAATCAGACTCAGTTTTATCTCTCAACTTATGATTTTGATTATTCGTCACATACTTATCTCAGTTTCGAATAAAACTACGGATTTAGTTTACAAAGCCACGATAACCGAACGGTGAAGGGGTCGGACTGGCCGACTCGTGATCCGGGGAATATTGTCGTGAGCTCACTCATGACACAAGCATATGAGTATTTAGCTTAGTACGCGGGGCTATTGGGAGTATTAGCAGTATTAGTAATTTGTTATTTCACAATCTTTAAAAAAAAGGAGGTATGTACCGTATCTTCATCTACCGCGTGAGAGATAGAATAGTGGGGTCAAACTTGATAAGCCGTCAACATAGTCCAATCGGACTGAAAGATTTAACGTGACTACCAACTACATTATATTACTTTTCAGTTAGGTTTATTCAAGCTCAAGTGATTTTTTCAATGTGTCCTGAATTCAAAATCGAACCCGGTACCAGAAGGCTGAGAAAGTAGAAACCGGGACCGGAAGGCTGAGAAAGCAATCATCGCGCGTTAATTTTAAGTTACCAATAGGATATGTCCAAACGCGAGCTAATTTAGAAAATAATGCTTGACCTGACTGAGAAATGAACCCACTATTACCCTGTCTTTAAGGCACCCGCGCTACTACTCCGTCAGGCCAATCTCCCATCTCACAGGAAACTGTATAACCTAACCGGCATTATCAAACTCCTAACAGGATAGGTAATCGCCAAAATAACAGCCACACGAATAACCTTGACAATCGTAACCAGAAAACTTAAACGTGTATTATGCAAACTAATGTAAATTAACAGAATCAAACCAAACATGTGGTTTGATAAGCGACCGAAGCGACTAGTTTTCCCGCGGCTCTCAACGTGAGTGGTCGCGTACAAAGTACGGTATAAAGTCGGACCCGAAAAACGACATAAAAAGCATTCGACTAAAAGTACATTCTGCAAATCAGTAGAGGGGCTGAGCTGACTGGTTCGAAGCGACTTTCGAGAACTCGTTTTGCTCGCATTCGTGCTCGAAATAACAGTTAGATTGTCTTTGATTGTTACTTAAATACTATTTGATTCAGAAAAAAATTTTGAACGTTGAAGTTCACGCGCCACTGTCAAATTGCCGGTCAAAATTTTCATACGTGTTTTTGTGTAAATTTTTTGTTGTTATCTTTTTATACCGTGTACGTTTTTATTTGTTAACAAAATGGCTTGCACTATTTGTATGGATCCGGACAGCAAACCTGTGAAAATGGTAAGAATACAGTTTTGTACAAAGTCCATTTCGTAATATTTTAGTACGTTTTGAAATTTTATTATTTCTCCATGCAAAGACATTAAAATGTAATAAATACACAAGCCTACTTATCTCAGTTTTTGTTGAAGACTTGTGTATATAATCAGTCTTACTTAGGTATTAACCATGGGTATTAATACCAACAAATTGTTTTGCTTGTTAATAATCCCACTTATCATTTTTTTCCTCTACCGCGGCGTTTTAAACTCTTACATAATATTCTACTAGGCTACATACAGAAAATACTTCACGGCTTTTAACTTTGTTTTTAAGGACATTTTTGGACTTGGTATCTCTGAAGCACTCAATACTCATCTTTTCTTCAATACTCAATCATTTAAATAAGTCTGTGCTGAACTTGCTCTGTAGGGTTTTCAAAGGGATTTAGTAATAAAAGCTTTTTGTTTATAACTGATTGTGGAGATTAAACCGGCTCCGATTACGCGGATGTTTGCATTCAAACAATTGGTTGCATACCGTCTCGATTAACCGATCGAATATCACAGTTAAATGAAGATATCATTCAACATTATGCGAAACATTTACATTACATATCATATACCTTATCATTACAGTTGCCGCGAATACTCGCTATTATTCGGTATTCGGCATTACTCGACATTTTTTTATATTCGTCGAATACCGAATAATAGCTAGTATTATTCGGCATTCGGCGAATAGTCGTCTAAAATAAACTTTTCGTGAACAAAAAAACTAGTGACTTATTAATAATCATATTTTTATTAATTTTTCCCTAATAAAACAATACACAGTATCCAACAGAGGCAGATTGTGGTGCAAAAAAACATTTTATTCTGCATGTTCGGGAGCAAGTCGGTTTCATTTCATTATTAAACCTGCCTCGGAAAATAGTCTTTCTGAATAAACAGAGCTTGCTGGTGTGATTAAATATCGTTTAGCAAGCTTACTTAATAATAGGAAATCTGTTCTTATTGGTACTCAAAGTCCACCATTCATATGGGTTTATTTTTCTGTTAGCCTTTGCTAATGCGATGTAGTGGGCTATTTCTTCAGCAGTGGCATTCTTGGGGTGCTCTTCAGTAGGTTGCTCTATAGATGATTCTTCAAAACATGCCCAAAATTTACTACATATATGTAGGTATGTATAACAACAGATTTCTTTAACTTTATTGTTTTCTTTTCTCACAACCTTAGAAGAAATTAGATATAATTTTAATGTTTTATGTCGAATAGTAATGTCGAGTTATTCGACTATTCGCCAAAGTGAATGGCGATTAATCGGTATTCGACTATTCGCTATAACCACTATTCGCGGCAACTCTACTTATCATACATTACATATCATACACCATATACCTACATTATGTGCGACAAATAAATTCACTAAACCAAATAAAATGTACATGCATCTTACGATCGCCAACAAATCAACCTGCAACAAAATGAAGAATTTCTCAATGGGATATAATTTATAATGCCCATCTCCTGAACTCAAAATCAAAGGATAACTGTGAAGAATGGATATGAAAACAATAATTCAATATTGTTTGAATTTTATGAATTTACAACGTGTATTAGTATCGTAAAAATTTAGGACAACAGTTGGTAGTCCGAAATCGTGTTATTCGAGGTATTGTGCATAACACCACCTGTTAAATGAGAAAGCTGTCTTTTTTTATAAACATCGGTTTCTTAGACGATGGTATTATGATTTTCCGCGCTGCGAATTAGATTTTCAATAATTTTTTTCGCGAAAAATACCACGTTTAAAAATAATTAAGATAAAGTTGTATTGTTAAAATGTTTTATACAGCTTATTAAAAAAAAATATACTTAAATCCTCGTCACTAAAAACACCCGTTTGTTTTGTTCCAGCGTAAAGAAAAAGACACTTTCGGCGAGCTCGACGTGCCAGATGACAAGCTGTACGGGGCCCAGACCGTCAGGTCTGTCATGAACTTCCCCATCGGAGGCATCGAGGAGAGAATGCCGGTAAGTGTACCACCAGGCTTAGGAAAAACTCATTTAGGACTTATTCAAAACCGTATCTTTACAGCGTAAAGTTAAAAATTATGTAGCATCTATGGCAGGGGTTCCCAAACTTAATTTGTCTACTGCCCAGTTTGAGAATGAATTATTTTTAGCGACCCCATTTTTTGGGTCTCTTACTTTAGGCCTGCAGCGCTCATAAGGGGGCGTTATCGCCCACTTTGGGAAAGGCTGATCTATGGCGTTGTTTCCTAAATAAAAGTTAAAAATCGGTATCTCCCATCTCTAGTTCCCACCGAAATCTCTAGTCTCAACCGAAATCTCTAGTGCAACTCCTATGTGTGTTGCCAGTATTTGCAGTTTGATCTCTTCTAATAAAAACCTAACCAGAGAAGGCTGAGTCTCGGAAAAGTTAAACTTTCTTTGGACACGTAAAGAAATTCATCAGAAGTTAATACGAGAACAATGGTTTAAATAATCCTATGTTCATAAACGCCTGCGATATCATATACGAATTGCAAATCTATTGCTTTAAAAAATCCAAGATTTGAAGCGTCTAGCAGTAGGTTAATGCTGGTGATAAAATTTCCAGTAAGTTTTTTTTTTCGTATAAACTTCTAGATTGTTTGCACAGCTGAATAAATTCATAATCAATACATACTGTACTATATCACTCCACTCGTCAACACACCCTGCCTCGCCCATGACACCCATTCCAAAGGCTGCTGGTCAAGCGTAATGACTTTTTAAACCTTGCTCCGAACGAAAGTCATTAAGTTTTTGTGACTTGCGGTTTTGCGCTGAAAACATTATTGTGTTCTTTTTAATTTTGCTAGCGTCTAAAAACTTTTCCTAGCTCTGAAAGCGAATATTCAATTGCAAATTGAACTTTAAACAGCATTAATTGAATGCTCAATTGATTTCATACTGGATTTAATTTTAGACACTTAAGGACTCTCCAGTGTCTTTTGATATTCTTCATCTATCATGTGGGCTATATCTACTGACGTCTCATTGATGTCAGACATCAGGAACAACCATAGCGTTACATGGCTCAATCTGCCCTAGAAAGCACGAAAACTTTATTTTATTTTATTTTTATTTTACTTTCTTTTTTATTTTATTTTAATTTCTCCTATGTTCTAATTAATTTCGTTGCGAGTCCAATGACAGTTTAACTTTCCCCCGGGACAAACTTGACCTTCACCGGTTGGGTTTTTATTAGCGTTCATGCTGTAGATACTGGCTACACAGGAGTTGCAGCGGTGGGAACGAGAGGTGGGAATAGTCCCGATTTCTCATCTCCAAATCGAATCCAGGATCTTCTGATCTAGAGATCGTTTTCTGGTGTAGATTTCGATCAAATGACTCGTTTATTTCTAGTTTAAGTAGTTTATTTTTGAACCAGCATGTCAAGCTATTGTCTATTGTTGCGACACTCATAGAAAGTGTGTACTCATTATTCGTGGTGCGTAGTACGTTGATCTATTGCAGTAGCGTTAGGTGTTAACAATGGTAGCTGTGATGTTGCAATTAGATATCTAACAGTAATTTAACCACCTTCCAAAAAGGTGGAGGTACTATGTTGCGAGATCGAATCAGAAATGAGGAGATCCGTAAACGAACCAAAGTCGCTGACATAGCCCGACGTATTAGCAAGCTGAAGTGGCAATGGGCAGGGCACATAGTACGCAGAACTGACGGCCGATGGGGCAGAAAGGTTCTGGAATGGAGGCCGCGTACCGGAAAACGCAGCGTGGGACGTCCACCTACAAGGTGGACCGACGACATCGTAAAGGTAGCAGGGAAGCGCTGGACGCAGGCCGCTACCAATCGATCAACATGGAAAGCATTGGGGGAGGCCTATGTTCAGCAGTGGACGTCCTGTGGCTGAAATGATGATGATGATGATGATGACTATGTTCGCCTGTAATGTATGTAACTATGCGTACATGAGGAATGAGTTATTTGCACATCTCTGCATTTATAGATCGTTTCATCCACGAAGACGCGCCCCACCAATATTTGGTCGAGGGAAGCGCGGGTGCGGGGAGTTTGATCCGAGCAATCGGAGCGTCATAATTGTAGTGTGCGTGTGCACTCATGGATAATTTAGCGTGTACCGATAACACTCAAACATTAGCGGAAGAATGATGGGGCGCGTCTTCGTGAATGAAACGATCTTTATAGGCTGAGGCATTTGTTGAAATTAAATATTAAGACTAATCACTTGGTAGAACCTACGATATATTCAAACGATGTGTTTTGCATTCGCACAGTGATAATAGTTTGCGATAACATGCGAGATGTAATAAGCCTGTTGTTCTACTGTTTATGTAGGTGATGTAATATTGTCTTAAATAACTGATATTTAAAGCGTTTTCTTATGTAAATAAAAATACTTTTTTCAAAGTAAAAATGTACTACAAATTAAAAATGCAAGCGCTCCTCACTTCGTATTTATGATCTACTAGCTTTCCGCCCGCGGCTTCGCCCGCGTGGAATTTTGTCTGTCACAGAAAAACTTTATCGCGCGCGTCCCTGTTTCAAAAACCGGGATAAAAACTATCCTATGTTCTTTCCCGGGACTCAAACTATCTCTATGCCAAATTTCATCAAAATCGGTTGCGAGGTTTAAGCGGGAAAGCGTAACAGACAGACAGACAGACAGACAGACAGACAGACAGACAGACAGACAGACAGACAGACTTACTTTCGCATTTATAATATTAGTTGGGATAGTACGTGGGGCATAATTATGTATGTTAGTCTGTTATTGTTTCACTGTGTTTTCCATACACAATAAAAATACAATAATACTATAAACTTACTGGCTTGGTCAGTTAATATCTCCACATTAGGACCAAACTAAAGTTGCTTCCACCAAAACCTGATCCGAAGCTGTTATCCAACTGCTTCTATTAATTTAAAGATTATTATCTCTTATAGGTACGTAACTGTTACTTGAGGCGTGTCGAGTAAAACATACATGTAATTTAGAGGACTATTGGTGTGTATTGGTGCTCTAGGATAAAATAAAATAAAATCGGAAACCAAAGTAATAACCCGCGCCTCTTAAATTATAAAGTCATAATAAATAACTTCTTATCAGCGACCTATTTTACGCGTACTTACAAATATTATTGCGTTATTGATTACGCTAGTATACTATGTCAAAGTTCCCACGACTAATACGTAAGTTATTTTTTACTATGCGATTAGCTAGCGACATACATAACCTGGGTCAGGAAGGATGTCTTCAATATAAGTAGCAATATCTTAGCAACCATAGTCGGTGTACTAATTTTTACAAGTTTTTTTTTGTATTGCACAAATTGGACCGACGACCTCATAATGGCAGCAGGAAGTCGCTGGATGCAGGCGGCTACCAACCGGGCGATATGGAAAGCATTGGGGGAGACCTACGTTCAGCATTGGACGTCCTGTGGCTGAAATGATGATGATGATGATGATTGTACAAATTGTGTTCTATTAGTAATTTGTATTCCTCGTGATAAGCTAAATAATGATTGTTTCGAGTGGGTTCACCACAATAGTCCAATGGTGGGAACCGGCGTTTCTCAGAATTTTGGGTCAACCAGTCTGACAATTCCGACACCGACATCACCGAAATTACTACACACTCTTCTTTCGATAATTAATCAACAGGATCCACAGCTTGGCCCCTTTTTTCCTGCTTTAAGCATTTGCCAAAGATTTGCATCTTGCCGTCCATAAAGAACACCCATAAACTCTTCGTTAGATTAAGCATATCGATCCCTCCTGCCGTAGTGCCTGACTGTCATTACTTATGTAATGGGTCCCCATAGATGACGTTACACATATCATAGTAATTTATGTTTCTGTTTTCAGTACCCAGTGATCGTGGCCTTTGGAATACTGAAGAAGGCTGCCGCGAAGGTCAACATGGAGTATGGCCTTGACAAGAAAATCGGTAATTATTTTTACATTCAAAATAAACAAGTAGAGAATCAACGTCATCACATCACACAAAACAGACAAGTTTCTTGTCAATACTCGTAACTGCTGGCCTTTTAACAGCCGTATTCACAAACTATGCTTGCTTAAGTGAAGCAGCAACGCTATGCGAAGTCGAACGCACAGCGTTTAATAGAGCTCTGTGATTGGTTCATGTGTCCGCCACTCAAATATTGTCTATGAATAGTTTTTTGTGAGCCTGTACGTCCACTCGCACTGTGAGACCTCATAGTAATATTTGTGAATACCAAATATGTGAATATTTGCCAATAACTGAAATACTGGACTGTTACAGCAGCAAAGAAAGACTTTGTTACAGCGGCAATAGTAATAATACACAATCCGTTAACATTTAACAAGACGCTGTGTTTAATTTCCAAGGAGCTTTATTTATTTATCAATAAATTTAATTTTTTATATTTGTTCGTTACAGCCGAAGCAATAATGCAAGCGTGCGAGGACGTCATCTCTGGAAAGCTGTACCGCGAGGGACACTTCCCGCTCGTCATCTGGCAGACCGGCTCGGGCACGCAGTCCAATATGAACACTAACGAGGTGGGCATAAGGTCGAAGTTACATCTCTTCTAAAGCCTGGTCCGTGAGCACGTAGAATCCCGTCCAATGACCCCAAGCTACCCATCCCTATCGCTCGCGCGTAATTATGTTGCTGTCGCGCTCGCACACTCATTGCGGGCGCCCGTCGCACAGTCGCGACAGCAACATAATTACGCGCGAGCGATAGGGATGGGTAGCTTGGGGTCATTGGACGGGATTCTACGTGCTCACGGACCAGGCTTTAGAAGAGATGTAACTTCGACCTTATGCCCACCTCGTTAGTGTTCATATTGGACTGCGTGCCCGAGCCGGTCTGCCAGATGACGAGCGGGAAGTGTCCCTCGCGGTACAGCTTTCCAGAGATGACGTCCTCGCACGCTTGCATTATTGCTTCGGCTGTAACGAACAAATATAAAAAATTAAATTTATTGATAAATAAATAAAGCTCCTTGGAAATTAAACACAGCGTCTTGTTAAATGTTAACGGATTGTGTATTATTACTATTGCCGCTGTAACAAAGTCTTTCTTTGCTGCTGTAACAGTCCAGTATTTCAGTTATTGGCAANCGAGGTGGGCACAAGGTCGAAGTTACATCTCTTCTATCAGCAATAATGCAAGCGTGTGACGTCATCGCCCGCTGGTCGTCTGGCAGACCGGCTCGGACACGCAGTCCAATATGAACACTAACGAGGTGGGCACAAGGTCGAAGTTACATCTCTTCTACCAGCAATAATGCAAGCGTGTGACGTCATCGCCCGCTGGTCATCTGGCAGACCGGCTCGGGTACGCAGTCCAATATGAACACTAACGAGGTGGGCATAAGGTCGAAGTTACATCTCTGGTCACAGCCGCAACAGTAAGAAGCGTGCAATGATTTGATCACCGGAAAGCACACTTTCTAGACGGCTGCTCGCTTTGACCATTGAGCTATAAGTGTATACGCTGTGAACGCTGCATCATTTCATCAATGCAATTTATTCTATTACCCCTAAACATCGATATAGATCGTTTCATGATCATCCAAAGACGCGTCCCCACCATTCTTCCGCTAATGTTTGAGTGTTATCGATACACGCTAAATCATCCATGAGTGCACACGCACACTACAATAATGACGCTCGGATTGCTCGGATCGTGATTGCGTCGTATCAGCGTAGGAGGAAATCAAGCCTAAGTTTAGCTGTAGGGAAAATAAGTCACGAAAGACTTCTATCTGTCACGAATGTTACTTTCTCTAGAGGTCCATGAAATTATTTAATTTGATATCGACACGTTAATCTACTATTAAATCTCTAACCTTACCTAAAATGCCCACCTTTTAGGTCATCTCCAACCGCGCCATCCAGATCCTAGGCGGCAAACTCGGCAGCAAGACCCCAGTCCATCCCAACGACCACGTGAACAAGTCGCAAAGCTCCAACGACACGTACCCCGCGGCGATGCACATCGCGGTGGCCATGGAGCTGCGGGACCGCCTCATGCCCGGCCTGGTGGCGCTGCGGGACACGCTCCAGGCCAAGTCCAAAGACTTTGAGAAGATCATCAAGATTGGCAGGTCGGTGGTGACTTAAAAAGCAATGGGGGAGTGACACAGTTCGACTAAAACAGAGACTAAAGCCCGCCCCCTATATTGCTGTCGCGACTGTGTGACGGGCGGCCGCAGTGAGTGTGCGAGCGCGACAGCAACATAATTACACGCGAGCGATATGGATGGGTAGCTTGGGGTCATTGGACGAAATTCTACGTGTTCGGCGGCCGGACTATAGACTGTTTCAGTGACGTCATTATAGTCATCACCATCATTATCAGCGTCAGGTCATTTGATTTCCAGTGCAGGAGTACGACGCTCTCTAAATTACTGGAGGTTACTTAAGATTTTGTCTACACTCTCTTAGCTAGATAGGTTGGGGATCTCATTGTAACTCTGCTATGCCAAACTCAAATTACTAGAACCATAGAAAATTCGGTATCTAAATCTATATTGGTCGGGTTAGTTGCTCTGCAAGATTGTTAAATCAAAACAAAAGACTCTAGTCCACCCCAACGACCACGTGAACAAGTCGCAAAGCTCCAACGACACGTACCCCGCGGCGATGCACATCGCGGTGGCCATGGAGCTGCGGGACCGGCTCATGCCCGGCCTGGTGGCGCTGCGGGACACGCTCCAGGCCAAGTCCAAGGATTTTGAGAAGATCATCAAGATTGGCAGGTCAGTGGTGACTTACAGGCAACGTGGAGTGACACAGTTCGACTAAAGCCCGGTCGCCGAGCACGTAGAATTTCGTCCAATGACCCCAAGCTACCCATCCTTATCGCTATCGCTATCACTGGGGCCGCCCGTCACACAGTCGCGACAGCAATATAATTACACGCGAGCGATAAGGATGGGTAGCTTGGGGTCATTGGACGAAATTCTACGTGCTCGGCGACCGGACTATAGACTGTTTCAATGACGTCAACATTCATCGCCATCGTTATAGTCATCACCATCATTATCAGCGTCAGGTCTTTTGGGATACACTTTAGAAACAAGACTCTCTAATTTACTGGAGGCAACTGGAGGTTTTGTCCTATACCCCCCAAGATGGCTAGATAGGTTGCGGATCTCAATGTTACTCTGCTGTGAAGCTGCAGAAAATTCGGTGTCAATGTTAGTGGTTCTGCAAGATTGTCAAAACAAAAGACTAGTTCACCCCAACGATCACGGCAACAAATCTCACGCCCGTTTTCACCATTAATCCCTAATTTTTAAGTGACCCCTATGGTAACACATATCAGGAATTTTGTTTTCATAGGGCATAGGGGTAGGGGTCACTTAAAGATTAGGGATTGATGGTGAAAACGGGCATCAGAGCTCCAACGACACGTACCCCGCGGCGATGCACATCGCGGTGGCCATGGAGCTGCGGGACCGCCTCATGCCCGGCCTGGTGGCGCTGCGGGACACGCTCCAGGCCAAGTCCAAGGATTTTGAGAAGATCATCAAGATTGGCAGGTCGGTGGCTAATTAGCAATGAGGGTTGACAAAATAGAGACTAGACTGTTTCAGTGATGTCAATATTCATCGCCATCATCATCGTCATCCTCATCAGCATCAGGTTTTTTAGGTCTCTAGGGCAGGGGCACGACACTTTCTAATTTACTGCAGGCAACTGGAGGTTCTGTCCTAAACCCCACACGATCGCCAGTTCATCAAGATTGGCAGGTCAGTGGATAATTAAAGGCAATGGGAGATGACAAAATAGAGACTAACTAAACTGTCTCAGTCATCTTAACATTCATTCACCATCATCATCGTCATCCCATCATCAGCATGAGGTTATTGGGTCTCCAGTGCAGGAGCACCACGACCATATCTAATTTACTGGAGGTTACTTAAGGTTTTGTGTAGGGAGTCATCATAGGGAGTGCCCTATGATGGCTAGATAGGTTGCGGATCTCAATGTTATTCTGCTGTGAAACTCAAATTACTAAAGCTCCAGAAAATTCGGTGTCAATGTTAGTTGTTCTTCAGCATTGTCAAAACAAAAGACTAGTCCACCCCAACGACCACGTCAACAAGTGAAAACTCACCATCAATCCCTAATTTTTAAGTGACCCCTATGGTAACACATATCAGGAATTTTGTTTTCATAGGTAGGGGTCACTTAAAAATTAGGAATTGATGATGAAAACGGGCATCAGAGCTCCAACGACACGTACCCCGCGGCGATGCACATCGCGGTGGCCATGGAGCTGCGGGACCGCCTCATGCCCGGCCTGGTGGCGCTGCGGGACACGCTCCAGGCCAAGGCCAAGGATTTTGAGAAGATCATCAAGATTGGCAGGTTAGTGGCTAATAGGCCATAATTGGGAGTGTCAAAATAGAGTCTAACTGTCTCAGTCATTCACCATCTTCGTTATCAGCATGAGGTTTTTTAGGTCTCCAGTAGTGCAGGAGCACGACTCTCTCTAACTTACTGGAAGTTATTGAAGGTTTTGTCTGGTGGCGCTGCGGGACACGCTCCAGGCCAAGGCCAAGGACTTCGAGAAGATCATCAAGATCGGCAGGTCGGTGGTGACTTAAAGGCAATGGGAAGTGACCAATTTCAGCTACAACTGGAGACTAGACTGTTTCAGCGATGTCAACATTCATTGTCATCAGGTTATTCTCAACATTCTGTTGCAATGATGTCAGAATTCATTCACCATCATTATAGTCATCACCATCATTATCAGCGTCAGGTCATTTGGTTTCCAGTGCAGGAGCACGACCCGAAAAGATAAGTGGTTCCTATCTAGGGCAATCAAGGTTCAACAAATTCTATCTCCAATGTCTTCTTTCTTTTGGAGCTACTTGATGAAGGCTATTTTAAAAGACTGCGCTCACCCATGCTTAATTTTCGTTCTAAATTGCTTGTCATAAGGCTGATTAAAGGCTGATTTACAGGTATTAAGTAGTTCCCTGTAACTTTTTAATTTTGAATATCAGACTTCCCCAATCCGTCTGGTCAGCGTGGAGAGTGTAGGTCAAATCCTGTATTTGCCTCTGGTAATTCAGTGAGGGTCATCCTTCTGTGGTAAAGAGGACTAACATGACCTTATAAAAGTGATGATGATTGAGGGTCGTCCTCCTTTAATGGAGACTAAATGGCTTTATAATGATGATGTGACGATCTCTCCTAGACTTTTTCTTTTGTTCTTACCAATGTTCTCTCTTCACTCAGGACTCACTTGATGGACGCCGTGCCTCTAACCCTCGGCCAAGAGTTCAGCGGGTACGCCACACAGCTGACGTACGGTATCGAGCGCGTGTGCACCACGCTGCCTCGTCTGCACTACCTCGCTATAGGCGGCACGGCCGTTGGCACCGGATTGAACACTAGAGTCGGATTCGCGGAGAAGGTGGCTGCTGAGATCGCCTCGCTCACTGGTGAGTGACGCGCTGACGCACCAGGCGGCTACGTCATGCTGTAACACGGTATCGAGCGTGTGTGCTGACTGAGCATCACGGCATTGACGTGACATAAAGCCACGATAGCCGAACAGTGACAGGGGTCGGACTAGCCGACTCGAAATCCGAGGAACACGGGTTCGAATCCCACCGCCGCTCGACTATTGTGGTGAGCCTACTTGTAACACATGCATATTTAGCTTAGTACCCGCTAACGGAACTTTTTAAAAAAATCGCAGGGAGAGTTTCCCTACCACTGGGGCGGAACCAAAACATGAACGTTAACCATATATCTTCGAACTAGAGTCGACAAAAAACCACTCTTGTTCTACGAGTATGTTACAAGTATTGACCTTTTACCTTTTTCATTAAAATACTGTCAATTTAACAAATATTTTCAACGTCAAATTCCAGGCATCCCCTTCGAGACAGCACCCAACAAGTTCGAAGCGCTCGCTTGCCACGACGCGATGGTGGAAGTATCAGGAGCGCTCAACACCATCGCAGTCTCGTTGATGAAGATCGCCAACGACATCCGTCTGCTGGCGTCAGGACCGCGCTGCGGGCTCGCCGAGCTTCTACTACCGGAGAACGAGCCCGGCTCCTCCATCATGCCGGGTGAGTGCTCGCTGTGCAGGACGCAGGATCCAGTCAAAAAAAAATCTAAATCAAAAATATTTATTCACTTTAGACCACAAGTGGCACTTATGAACGTCAATAGAAAATAATAAAAAAAAGAAAAGGCAGCCCTTATCTTTTGGGCCCTACCAGCGCTTCGAGACAAACATATGGCAAGTGCTGAGAAGAAACGCCGGAACAAATTTAGTCACCACTTATTGCCAGGAATTATCTAACGGTAAGAATAGTCAAATTTAAGTAGGTACATCAAATATGTGCAGACTGAACTGACCACGCATCCTAGTCCTAGTATAGTCTCGAACCTTGTAGTACCCTTTGGACATAAGGGTATTTTTTATATGTATCTTAAATTTATTTATTGGCAATTCGACAAGGTTGTGTGGTATTTTGTTAAATATGGTAATACATTTCCCCAAGAATGAATTACCTATTTTATGCAACCTAAATGATGGAACAGCAAGTTTCCTACGAGCCCGGCTCCTCCATCATGCCGGGTGAGTGCTCGCTGTGCAGGACGCAGGACCCAGTGTCCTACGAGCCCGGCTCATCATGCCGGGTGAGTGCTCGCTGTGCAGGACGCAGGACCCAGTGTCCTACGAGCCCGGCTCATCATGCCGGGTGAGTGCTCGCTGTGCAGGACGCAGGACCCAGTGTCCTACGAGCCCGACTCCTCATCATGCCGGGTGAGTGCTCGCTGTGCAGGACGCAGGACCCAGTGTCCTACGAGCCCGGCTCATCATGCCGGGTGTCTGCTTTTTTGTCTTTGTGTGATGTCCATTGCAATAAATGTTTCTATGTTTTTTTTTTCTTCTTTCTTTCAAATTGCTGTGCGTGATGATGTTGTAATAGGCGACTAAGAGACAAATTTGCGAGGATTCTCCCCAGCCAACTGTATGACTTGATTACTGATTGATATTTCTTCTGTGTACAGGCAAGGTGAACCCCACGCAGTGCGAATCACTTACCATGATAGCTGCGCAAGTGATGGGCAACCACGTGGCGTGCACCGTCGGCGGCAGCAACGGGCACTTCGAGCTTAACGTCTTCAAGCCAATGATGGTGGCCAATGTGCTGCGCTCCATCAGGCTCATCGGTGAGAAGAATACGTTCAAAGTCAAAGTCAAAGTCAAAATTTCTTTATTTGTTTAGACTAATAAGTTTAGAGTTCTGCTCTTATCGCCTCTACAAAAAAAAATTGAATAACTGATTGTATGATCCAGGAATGTTTATTAATACTCGTCTCGTTTCAGCCAAATGACGTCCACTGCTGGACAAAGGCCTCCCCCAAGGTTTTCCACAATGAACGGTCCTGCGCCGCCCGCATCCAGGCTCTTCCCGCGACCTTTACCAGATCGTCGGTCCACCTAGTAGGAGGCCTGCCCACGCTACGTTTTCCAGCCCGTGGTCGCCACTCGAGAACTTCTATTAATACTATAATTTATCAATTTGATTGCATGAATCTAGAATGTTTATTGATACTATAATTTATCTTCCTAGGTGACGGCTGCCAGGCGTTCAACAAAAACTGCGCGGTCGGCATCCGTGCCAACGAGCAGCAAATCAACAAGATCATGCGCGAGTCGCTTATGCTTGTCACCGCGCTCAACCCGCACATCGGATATGATAAGGTACAGTATACTTACCTAAATAACATCATTATCATCATAAGGCAGGCTTTAGTGTCACGCGGACCGTCCGGTGCGGACCCGCTCCGCACGGCCAATCTGTATGAACTTCTAGGGAGCGTTTTAGAGTAATGCGGTCCGGAGGAACCGCTCGCTCCCTAGCAGTTCATACAGATCGGCTGTGCGGAGCGATCCGCACTCACAGTCCGCGTGACACTAAAACCAGCCTAAGACGTTATTCGTCCGCTTGCGGGACCGCACTTTGAAAGAGTCCTTAATCTACTGCACTGTGTTCGTGCACACTCCCAATTTCCAGACGAAAATGGAGTATTTGGTCCACTCCCCGCGCTGGCGAGGCTAGGCGACTGAATTCCGTCCACTGCTGGACAAAAGCCTTCCCCAAGGATTTCCACCGCGAAAGCTTCTGCGCTGCCGGTGCTTACCGTGTCCTTTACCAGTAACCGTATTCACGTAACAGAACTTCAACAACATGCAAGCGATTTCATCGCTGGTCACTTTTCGTATACACGTGTTAATCGCCCGATTTCGTTTTTAAGCGTATTCAATCATTGCCTCCGCGGTATTCACCCATTACCTATTTTGAAGTTTGGTTCAAGTGATTTAAACGTCAAATGACAAAATACGTGAATTAGGCCACAGATTGTCAGAGCGTCGAATCGAGGCATGTCCATATTTCGTTCCGATCCAGGGTCGTCACTCTATAACTTTTCTGTCCCAACGGCCATTAGTTCTTCAAGCTATATGCCCAACCCTTATTATAATTCACAATTATTAACTTTATTCTCTCCCCAGGCGGCGTTAATAGCGAAGACAGCGCACAAAGAAGGCGGCACCCTCAAGGACACTGCTATCAAGCTAGGAATCCTCACTGCTGAGCAGTTTGACCAGTGGGTCAAGCCCGAAGAAATGTTGGGACCCAAGTAAACCGCCAACCACCAGCAACTTGCGTGAACGCACAGCGCAGCGCCTCTAGCGGACGTCTACAGAACTATTTCAGTGATCAGCAAGTCCGAGACCCTAACTATTTTACTGATCAGCAATTGAACTGACTGGTAGAGGCTGAGAAATACTGCGTTTACTAACTAGTTATGTTGATTTTACAGCAAAATCTGCAAGTTGTTTATATTCGTGCTATGGTTTTACAAAGGGCTTGTGGTTTAGAATCGGCCGTGTACTTATTTCGTTTATTGCTTATAAGCTTTTTCATGACATTGTTGTGCGACGTTTTGTGGACGTCTAAAAGCCAGAATTATATTAATTACTGGATAGTATTGTATTGTTTGTGCCAATGTCCAAACAGTTACCACTCGGCGGTTTTCTAAATCACAAGTCTGTGTGCGTGCGAAGAGATCTGTCTCAGTATTGTTAATGATTACAAAATATGTAATTTATTTCATACTTGCATTTACATTACCCGTTTAGACCAGAAGTAAAATTGTTAAAGAAGTTATAAAATATTGAGACAAAGCAATATCATTGTACATAACATGAGCCCTAAAATCCTTGTTCATTTTAGGTGTATAAAATATTATTTTACAAAATTTTATTTATCGTTACCTACGTGGATTAATCCAGACCGCAATATTTATTACCTTTGGAAGTATAATTAATCTATTTTTTTTTGGAATGTTATCCATGTATCGTGTCATGTTCATAATAAAAGTTTAATTTTAATTTGACTTGTTTCATTTTAACTTTAATGAGGAAGATACTTGGAATTTTGAAAAATATTCTTCTACTCTACCCCATTTGTATTTTACGGCCGTATGCTGATTGGTAGTTTTTTTTTGAGATTTTAAGATAGGTTTCCCGTTTTCACCCCCAGTGCAGATAACAGACTCCTCTGGCCGGTGGGGACAATGGGAATAAGAAAAATTAAATGAAATTTTCACCACTGGGGACAACGGGAATAAACCTACTTATTTACATTTATATTGATTTATTAAGATTTATTAGCGAAATTGGCCACCGCAACGAATCTGTTAATCTGGCACTGAGCTGAGATCATAATTGCCAATATTCTATTTGTGGGGAGTCACCATCACTCTATCAGTGAGAGTGGACAATGGGTAATAAAAATAAAACTCAATAATTTGTACTTTGCTTTGACTACATAATATATTAGGTATATTTAGCGATATTCATCTTACACAGTAAATGCAGCATACTTGACAATCCTTTGGGCTTTATAATGCATCAAAAATTGATACAGTTATATCACATTTTCATAAAATATTATGGAAATTCTTTGGAATGGACTAGATAATTCAAATAATACTAACAAAATAAATGACTAACAATAATAGAGAGAACATAAGACTAGCAATTCTAGGTATTCAACAAAAAGTTCTTGATTAAACTAATAACTTATTTACCTAAGTAACTATAATAATAATTAAGCTAGGTTAACAGTTGCACATAGCATAAAATGTGGAAGGCATCATAAACATTCTGATTATGTAGAAAAGTGTACTCTTAAAGTTATTTACATAAATACATCTTTGATATTTTGGAATTGTTTTACTGCGAGGTCCACTGGCAAGTCGAAGTTGTATGGGGTCAACCGGTCAAGACTTTGCAGGGCGTCTTGAAAGCCCGTGTTCACAATATAACTTGTTGATGAGTAATAATTGTCAATTAAAGACCTACTTTTCAAGATAATATTCAACCAGACAACAAGTTTGTGAGCATTCAATGCAGCACAGATAAAGGCCTTAAAATGAGCATCGTAACTTCTTTTATAAGGCATGTGCGATGCAAGTATACTGCCTATTGAACTAAGTAGACCTTGTTTGTTAGTTATTGCTGTTCCTCCAACTATATCTAAATTAAAACTTTGACTGAGTTTTCTAGCTGGTGTTGAATTGAACCTGTCGCCATCGTTTAGTTCATAATAACGCAAAATAAGCTCCCAAACGTGGGTGGTGCGTGATGATGACGATCTTCTGACTGGGAAGCAGCCTATGAGAGGAACCAATGATGAAGATTCAGGCCCAACTAGTCCATGTTGTAACAGGTCACGTAAATTCACAGCCAAATGTCTCCGAACAGCAGTGGTCAGTGGTGCATCATTAATTATCACCCCCCCTTCTTCAGATTCACTATCATAACTGTCAATCATAGTGTGTGATGGTCTATCTCTTGATACTAAATGAAGGACTGCATCAATTGACATTTCCAGTTTTGCTCGTAAGTTTCCCCAATGAGTTACAATAGTTGATGACTTCCGTTCATATCTCTTATTTGTGTTTGGAGAGCAACCAAATTGAGAGACTGTGAATATTTGTATCAGAGTAGACGCTTTTCTCATTAGGTTGATAGTTTCAGTTCGGAGATCATCATTTGATTTATTCCTGTTGAAGTTCTTCTCAAAATTTTCAGATCTGACTTTCTTTGTATCAGGTTTAGAATTGACATTGCTTTTAAGTTCCTCGCTCTTCATAACCTTGATGAATTTCTGCATGTCATCTATGTGGGTTTGAAGTTTACTGATTATTTCATCTTTAGAAAGTTGTCTGTCCGCATACTGTTTGACAGCACAGTTGATCTGATGTCTAAGTTCATCTGCACTCAACGGTTGACATCCTTCTTCCAAGCTTTGGTCAATTTCAGATCGCAAATGTTCAATAAGGCCCCTATGCTTACTGTCGCCTATAAGACTAGGGTCAGCGGCGAATCGTTCGAGTTCTTTCAGCTGCGATTTCAGTCGTTCTATGAAGTGGCCCTGGCGCGTTCGCTGTCGTCGTATTTTTCGTTCTAACTCCGCACACTCGCTGCACGTCGTATCTCCAGAGCTCCCCTGAGGCGCTGCTCTTGAATCCGGCACACCACGAGATGTGAATTCTTCCAGTTCTTTCAACATTGCATCCTTCTCTTCAGAGGGAGCTTTTAAAATTTGCCTCAGACGAAACTCTACTTGAGCGAGATGCGACGTCAAGGAGAACACAGACGAAGACAGTATCTCCTGCTCTTCTTCCAAGGCGTGAAGCCTGTCTCCACTGCTGGTTTCCTGTACATTTTCCTCACACAATGATTCCTTGGGAGCGCCGAGAGGTTCCCGTCTTGGCTCCTGCCAAATGGGAATCTCATTTTCGTCGTAGTCGCTGTTGTTGTCCATATTGGATATAAACTAAGTTTTATGAAACAATAGTAATTTACGAAACGGCATTGTGGTTGTACATTTTGATCGATTTCCAGAAAACAAGCTGAAAAAACTGAAAAACTTTAGGAGTGATTGAGTGAATGAATGTGGTTTTACGTTTACGTCATAACAACATTTGACGTCAAGAACGAACTACTGAATGAATGTACATAGAATCAAAAGTTCAGAGATGCCGTGAAGAGTAGGTACCTATTTTACCCACCACCACTGATTGTTAAAATTGAAAGTGCGATAAGTTTTCAAGCGTAAGCGTTTTCGAGTTATTATTTTTTTCTACTTGATTGAATTTATTTTGTTGTTCAAGGTACGTCCTCGTTAAATATAAAATATTTATGCTGGAAAGCCCTGCAGTAATATGACAAATAATATCCCAGCTAGCTGTAAACAAGTGCAGATAAATTAATTGGTTATAGATATTATTACCGAAACAATATTTAACTGATTGATAGGTAGATAACAGAAATTGCATTCTTAAACATTTTACTCTTTGCCGAAAATCCTCTGACTCCATTGCGCCATCTATCTTTTTGACGTCTAGACTCTGCTAAAGATGACACAAGCAAGCTCGTTCCGTTCAGTTATCAATAGATGTCAGTAGTAGTTTGTAGATCGCTGGGCAATTTTCAATTCGCATGAGTGTTTTTCAGTAAAAACAACTAAAAATTGTTAATTTTAAATACCTGACCTTAGTTTTATTCTTCGATATTCGTGACATTTGCTTACATTTTAAAGTTTCATTTGCATTAATGGATTCTGATTACAAAAACATTCTTTTAAGTTCGCGAGTTTTGATGGTAAGTGCATTCAGCATTATGTTATTATTTAATTACTTTACTCATGTAGGTACTTTATAAATGTCGGTAAACTTAATTCCGTCCAAAGAGCCTACTTTACGAGCTAGTTCGAAAGTCATTAACGCGCGAGCTTGCTTAGTTTGATTACACGCATTCAGCCGTATATTCGTCGGAATAATATTGGAGGACACACCAAATTAATGTTAGATTTAGAGAAACTCACTCGCTATATCGCCCATTTGCGACGACACTGTGACATCTCGAGATATGCGATTTTTTGTTTTACCGAAATTCTGAACCGCGATCTTGCGTTCTTTTATCTCCAAAAACAGGGTATTTGTTACTCCGAAAACAACAATACTATGAGAGAAAAAGACAAAATATTACGTTATAGCGCTGGCTCGTTCGGCGATCTAGTTGGCTTCGACACTGTGACAGTTCAGTTGCCACCTGCGCTTTGAGATGTGAGGTGCTCTTCGTTTTTAAGAAAAACGTGACATCTCGAGGATACCGCGGTATTGATGACAAAGGTAAGTTTTTAAAATATTTTTATTTTATTCGACAATGTGGCACGTCATACTTATCACAGTGTTCTTGTAAAACAAAAAGCAAAGTAAAAGAGAAATTATTTATATGTCACGTTATTCTTGTAAGAAAATCGAAGTATCATCGGGACATCTTAACTAGTAACGTTGTAGATGATGAAAATTTTTCCTATATTGGAAATATGTTGTAGGTCATTTGTTGATGTTCTGTTATTGCAGAATACATGTTATTGAAATTGAATGGTATATCTACTTGTCACGTTGTATACGCTAAACAGTAATACTAAACTCCAGATATCATTACAGATGGGGACTAGCAATGCAAAAAAGCAAAGGTTAACATTTGTGGCGATGCACTGCCTGAAGGAATTCCACAACCTAATCCGACAACATGACTAACAGCGCTATGCGAGCGCTGTGAAAGGGTCTCTTTGAGCTACAATAACGTCGGAACTAATATGAGTAGATATAGACTGATAAACATACATTCGTTTTGAAGAATAGTTCAAATACTAGAAATACAGTGCAAATAAAACATACTTATACGACTGTCTGTTTTTACAGACACAACAAGCAAAATATTTTATATTATCATACAATAGCCTTAGATTAGCTTAATCTAAGACGATAGCTAACAAAATTATCTATTAGTAGAAGTATGCTAGAATAGCAATGGGTTGGATGACCCCAGATATTTATTTATTTATTATTATGTAATTATTCAATGTTACTTAGCTGTATTGGCTATGTTTTGCTTTCTGCAAAAAAAGGTATTTTAATGTTTTAATAATACAGATCATCAGCAATTGATGGAATTTTATAGCATCTTGCCCAAATTTACTTTGGCGGGCGCAACATTGTTTTGTATAATAATATTGCAATAGGTATAACTATTGCAGAAAAACTACGCCAATAAAATGGCTACATTATTTATAAAATAATAGTGGTTGTTATTTTTCACTATTAATACATTATTTAAATATCTTTTATAAATTTAATTTTAAATAAGTATAAAAAATAAAAGACCCTAAAAGGTACCAAAATGTCGCTTTTTTGCCATTTTATGCGCCGGAGACGGCGGATTTTTGCGTTGATAGTTTTAGGATTAAATTTTCATAACTAGTCTGTTAAAAAACATCTATTTACTAACCTAGTAGGTACCTACAATTTTTTTTCTGCATACAACATACTTAGTACAGTTTCTCTTACTGTGTTTTTTTGTAGTAGTTTACGACGTTTTACTTTTGAGAGTTTTTCGTTTATTTTGATAAGTATTAGTTTTTAGAATAAGAAAACTTAATGTGAACTTAAATATTGTATGTATACAACTGTCTGTCTACTTAGATAATATTTTTATAAGTGAAATTAATTTATTAACATGGCAAAGCGAAATATTCGCCTGTTCCAATAATTACCTCATTTTTGCTGATTGTAATGTTAGTAAAATAAAATAAAAATTTTCAAGATCAACGTTTTATCTAAATAATGACTTATATAAATATATTTTTTATATCATCTACAACGTGACAACTGAACTTACCATCTTCAAAATATTATTTTTTACTAGAACAACGTGATAAGTTGTCTCTTTTTTTTTCAATCGCTATAATTTCATCAATTTAGACGCAAAGTTATGTCTTACTATAAATATTTAAATTCATTAATAGTTAATCTTTAAACGTTTCATACACAATAAGTTAATCCTAACCTTATTTTAAGAGTTATGGCCATTCAAAAGTTAAAAAGTCGATTTCTGTAAAACCACTGTTTTTGATATATCACAGTGTCGTCGCAAATGGACGATATTACCTACCACATAGTTACGGGGTAGTCATTAACTCCCGAGTTACTAAAGCATAATAACCTATCAAGAAAATTAATCGTCTTGAGCTACTTAAGTGCCGGTTAAGTTCCAAAATAGTCTACCTACCTAATTTAACTTTCATTTCATTATAGTTAGTTTACTAACTCTTAACTAATATTCGAAAACAAATCGAAAACAAAGGTGGACTTTATGTTCTCGTTTTGGCAAGCGTTGCTCGATGGACCGACGATCTAATGGAAATAGCTGGCTATTGCTAGATGCAACATGCTAGAAAAGAAACAATAAATTAAATTATTAAGAGACTACGCGAGTTTTATAACTTTCTGTACAACAAACACCAGCCAATACTTAGGCCCGGTTTTTTAATTCGTAGTTAAAATAACCAATAGTCAGACAGATGTCTAATGACAAGTGGTTAAATATCAGAAAAAAATGTTTTTCGAACAATGGTTAGCTTGACTTTTAGTACATTTTTTAACTATCAGTTAACATTTTGTTAATATTTAACCATTAGTAGCAAAATTTAACAATTTGTTATTTTAACCATGAATCAAAAAACTGGGCCTTAGGTAGGTACCTAATACCTACTAACTTATTTTTAATGCAATCATTTTGTTATTACTACCTACTAGTTTCCCATCAACTATCACCACACAGTTCCCCCATCATCCCTGAACATAGATTACATAGACAGACTCGGAGCTATAAAATATTCAAGTGTAATAAGCCTAACGATTCAGGAACGCACATTTCATAGTAAATCTTTCCATCCATCGATACAGTTGCGTGCAAAATTTATTATCCTAATAATAATTGTATAATTTATTTAAATAACTTTTTAGAAGTTTTAGTAGTATGTACTTCAAATTGAAAGTAAAGGTAGTTAAAACTTTCTATCAAAGACATTTCATTCCACTGCACATAGCGAAGTTTACCTCAAAAGAAAAATTCATTTAAAGGTTGCAAAACAACATAAGTTTCGTTCTTTGAGAGACGTAAAAGAAATAAAAATGTCCAGTTTCAGTGGCAAGCAGTGCACTGTTTGACTGTTTCTCATAAAGGATTTTTTACCACGTTTACCGTTATTTGAATAACCTGCTTCTGGAGCCATTTTTCTTTTTGAATTACCTCTACATATTTTTCTTGCACTCAGCAGCAGACTTCTTTATTAATGTGGCGTAGGTACTTAGGTTTTATATAACACTAGCTGTGCCCCGTGGTGTTACCCGCGGTAAAACATAGCTGTGGGATATGATGCTCAACCACAATAAGGAAGCTAGATGTTAGTGCTTCCTTCCGAGCGGGTGTTATGCTCGGGGACCAAGGTCCAATTTACACCATCTTGGTTTGTCTATATATACTTGGCAGGATCTAAAACTCCGTCACCGCGATGCAGGTTTGTATGAGCGGCGGAGTGTGCCATAGTGTAGTAGTGACAGCGCCATCTGTTGGTCACTAGTTTGTAGTGGCGTCGCCACAATAGCCTATGTCAGGCTGCCAGGGTGTCAGCTAATTTCATACCAAATTTTACTAAAATCGCTCCAGCTGTTTAGACGTGAGGAAGTAACAATCATATACCTACATTCACTAACTTTCGCCTTTTTAATATTAATTAGTGTGATTAACTTTTGCCCGCGGCTTCACTCGCGTTAATGCGATCTTTCACAGGAGCTTCCCTTTCAAACACGGTATGAAAACATTATTTTTCCTTATCTCTATTTACTTTCATCTAAATTGTTTCAGTGGATGCGGGCATCGCAGGACCTTTGCGGAAATCCTATGAGTAGGCCTTCCTTTGTCCAGCAGTGGACGTCATTTGGCTGATACGAACGGGTCTGTGGTTTAAGCGTGAAAGGTAACGGAAAGTGAGTTAAGTGAGTAAGTTGAAGCGCATTTATAATAATATTAGTACGTAATTATTATTACTGACATGATTGAAAGATTGCTACCATTTAAG